AAAAAAAAAAGAAAAAGATGCAAAGGGGCAACAGCTACCCAATGAATTACCCAGGAGGAAGCAACATTAAAACTGAGTCATTCATTCACCCATTCATTCATTCAATGCATTTAGGAATTGGCAAGGCCCTTTCACCTGTGCAAGTCCTCTCTGCCCTTCCAGGCCCAGCTCAGAGCAGAGAGCAAAGCCTGAGATGTGTGCTTAGCCCGCTCATGTTTCCGGTCTTCCACCAGCACTGCTCATGGCTCTTTACTCACTGTTATTCTGAGATCAGGAACAATGGTGTCTTGACTGGCCCCTCCCAAGAATCTCTAAGCCAGCTTTGGGAAGATAGCATGGTATCAAGAGGACAGAAGAGAGGTAGACAGACTGAAGCTTAGAGAGATTGCCACACTTTCACCTTCACATCTTGTTCTTATAATCTGTGCCACTGAGAAGGAAATACAGATGGCTCTGAAACATATGAAAAGATGCTCAACCACGCTCATCATTAAGGAAATGCAAATTAAAACCGTGCTGAGATAGCGTTTGTCACCTGTCAGATTGGCAAAGCTCAGAAGTGGCTTGATAATGCCGCGTGTTGGGGAGGGAGGGAGTGAGGGGCTGTGTCACACTGCGCACTGGGAATGTAAGTGGATACACTCTTTATGGAGGGCAATTTAGCAATATCTGTCAAAACTGCGTACCCTCTGACCTAGTAATTCCACCGCTAGGAATTTATCCTTCTAAGAGCTTGTGCCTTGGAAATGGAATGCATGCCCATAAGAACTAATATTTATTGAACCCTGACCATGTGCCAGGTGTAGTTCTAAACGCCTCACTCGAATTAGCTTATTTAATCAACCTGATGGGCCCAGGCAGGTGCTGTTGATTTCCCCATTTTTCAGATCATTTGTGACAGCCATGTTGGTAAAAATAAAAGATTATAAGCTACTAAATGCCTCTCAATAGAATGGTTAAAGAAACTGGGGCCTACCCATAAAATGGCATGTTATGTAGCTATAAATTAGGGTAAAGAGAATCTCTAAGACGGATTTTCAAGTTTCAAAGGCAAGGTGCAGAAAGCAGTGTGGGTAGAACATACTATAACTTATGTTTTCTAAAAGAAGAGGCCAGGTAAGGTGGCTCACAACTGTAATCCTAGCCCTTTGGGAGGCTGAGGCAGGAGGATTGCTTGAGCCCAGGAGTTCAAGACCAGTCTGAACAACATAGAGAGATACTATCTCTACAAAAAAAAATAAGAAAAATTATCTAGGTGTGGTGGTCCATGCCTATAGTCTCAGCTACTCGGGAAGCTGAGATAGGAAAATCACATGAGCCCAAGAGTTTCAAGTTGCAGTGAGCTATGATCTTGTGCCACTGGACTCCAGTCTGGGTGACAGAGTAAGATCTGTTCTCTTAAAATAAGTGAATAAACAAATAAATAATTTAAATTTACACACACAGTGACAGGCTTCCTTTTAAAAATTATTTATTTATTTTTTAGAGACACATTCTCACTCAGTTGCCCTGGGATTGAGTGTCCTGGCATCATAGCTCACAGCAACCTCAAACTCTTGGGTTCAGGTGATTCTCTTGCCTTAGCCTCCTGAGTAGCTGGGACTACAGGTGCCCACCACAACGCCTGGCTATTTTTAAGAGATGGGGTCTCACTCTTGCTCAGGCTGGTCTCGAACTCTTGAGCTCAAGCAATCTGACCACCTCAGTGTCCCAGAGTGCTGGGATTACAGGCATGAGCAACTGCTCCCGCCCTATTATTATCAATTAATTTATTTGTTTTGAGACTGAGTCTTACTCTGTTGCCCAGGCTATAGTGCTGTGGCCTCTGCCTAGCTCACAGCAACCTCAAATTCCTGGATTCAAGAGATTCTCCTGCCTCAACCTCCTGAGTAGCCGGGACTACAGGCACCCACCGCAATGCTCAGCTAATTTTTTCTGTTTTAGGAGAGATAAGGTCTCACTCTTGTTTAGGCTGGTCTTGAACCCCTAAGCTCAAGTGATCCTCCTATCACTTAAAAATTATTATTACTATTATTATTATTATTTTTTAGAGACAGAGTCTCATTTTGTCACCCTTGGTAGAGTGCTGTGGCTTCACAGCTCACAGCAAACTCCAGCTCTTGAGTGTAGGTGATTCTCTTGCCTCAGTCTCCCAAGTAGCTAGGACTACAGGCGCGTGCCACAACACTTGGCTATATATATTTTTTTAGAGGCAGGGTCTTACTCTTGCTCAGGCTGGTCTCAAACCTGTGAGCTCAGGCAATCCACCTGCTTTGGCTTTCCAGAGTGCTAGGATTACACACTGGTGGCATGAGCCACTGCACCTGGCCTAAAAATTATTTTTTTAAAAAATCTTTTATTTTGGAATAATTTTAGGCTTATAGAAAAGTTACAAAGATAGAACATCAAATCCCCATATGCCTGCTCACCAGGTTTCAGTTTCCCCTAATAGTATCCTCGTGCATTGCCATGGTACATTTGTTGAAGCTAAGAAACCCACACTGATAGATTACTATTAACTAAACTCTACATTGTATTCGGATTTCATCCAACTGGTTTTCTATTAATGTCCTGTCTCTATTCTGGGATCAGACCCAGGTCCCATATTGCATTTAGTCATCTTGTCTCTTTAGTCTCCTTTTTGAATTTTGATTCATGCAAATGTATTGTCAATTTAAAAAGAAATAAAATTATAAACAACTCTTCCCCTCAAATCCCCAAATAGCAATAACAAAACAATTTTTGCTGATACTTCAACAGGGACCCCACCTCCTGTCTCCTGACCCGTCTGCTATGCTTATGGCTCCTGCAGAAAGCCTCCCAAACCTGGAATGCACTGCTTTCTGCCCCAGTCCCCTGGGACATTGCATGAATCTCTCTTATACAGCACTTATCACCGCCTGCCTTGTTTCATAGTTATTTATGTATGTGTCGTCTCCCCAAGGAGAGTGTGAGCTTCCAAAGGACGGGACAGAAGCTGTGTGCCCTCTGTCTCTTCTCCCTGTGTCTGAAAGGATGCTTTGACCCCATACACATTTGCTGAATTGACACCTATACCCTGATGTGAGGAGAAGGAGGGAGGGATGCATTTAGGGAGTTATAGAGGATGGACAAGTATTTCCCACATGGGCTGGTGACCTATGACTAATAAAAAAACAAAGTGGCAATAATAATTATCTTGATAATAATAATTATAATACCAGCGACCTTTATGGCCAAATCAAATTCTGTTCTTTCCATTGCTAACCTCCTTTAGCTGTAATAATAGTTCTGTGAAGTAGATATTATTACTAATATATATATATATATATTTATATATATATTTTTTTGGAAACAGAGCCTCAAGGTGTCCCCCTGGGTAGAGTGCCGTGGCATCACAGCTTACAGCAACCTCCAACTCC